TGAAGACCCACTGGAGAGTCAGTGAGTCGCGACTCGAAGGCACATAGCAACAACAACAATATGATTAATTTGTTACTTGTTGTTCTTGTGTACTGCTGAGTTAGAAACAACTCACACCTGACTCTCCAGTGGGTGAGTTGTTTCTAAGTCAACAGTACACAACAACAAGAAGCAACAAATTAATGATGTTGTTGTTGTTGCTATGTGCCTTCGAGCGACCCTATGTACAACAGCCCTAAACTCCGCTCTGTCCTGTGCCAATCGCACTGTCTCTGACACTCCCATCCCGATTATCCCAGTCACTGCATCAATCCACCTCATAGAGGGCCTTCCCCTCCTGCGCTGTCCCTCCACCCTCCCAAGCATGATGTTCTTCTCCAAGGACCTGTCCCTCCTCACAACATGTCCAAAGTATGTTAGGTGGAGCCTCAGAATCCTTGCCTCCAAGGAGCCACCCGGTTTAACCCCTTCCAGAATGAATCTGTTTGTTTCCCTAGCAGTCCATGGTACACTCAATACTCTTCTCCAGCACCACAGCTCAAAAGCATCAATTCTCCTTCTGTCCTCCCTAGTCATTGTCCAACTCTCTGATGCATAACAAGTGATTGCGAAGACCATGGCCTATATCAGATGCACCTTAGTCTCCAGAGAGACACCATTGCTTTTCCCAAATTAATCATACACATCTTTTTTTTTACTTTTATTTGAATGAAAGCTTACAACACATACTGGTTTTTCATTCAACCATTCATACATATCTTGTTTTCTAGTATTTGTTATAACCACAATGTCTGATTGTGTACTGCCTTTCCATGTACCCATCTTAATTACTCATTATCTAGTAATTTTTTTTACTGTCTCCATTACTCTCTGGTAACCGTACTAGAATAATCCTATTTCTTTGTAAACCTTTTAGCTCTTTATAATAGTGGTTCTTATACAGTATTTGTCCTTTTATGACTGACTTATTTCACTCCACATAAACAGTTTAGCACTTCAACTTACAAAGTTGAAAATAAAATTAGCACCATTACCCCGTGTTTTCAGGCCCCTGCCAGATCCTTCCCATTTCCCTTACCCTCTCCCTCCACCTGCAGAATTGTGCTTTGATTTTTATCCCCCACCCATCCTCACCCCTCAATGTATGGGAATGATTGTATGAAACATAATGTAAGGAAACTGGAGGGGGTGTAATCTACATAATAATCTAAAAAACCACAATCTACATGAATGAAACAGTGTAAATGAATTGTTAAATGTAAAGCAATAAAAAAATCTGGAAAAAAAAACCCCAACGTGTTCAGAATAGAAATACCATTTGATCTCGCAATCCTGCTACCAGGTTTATGTCTTGAAGAACTACGAGCTGCAGGACAGATGGGTCAAGAGATGGAGACATCTCGGGGGAGCTCTGGTGGCCTAGTGGCAAGAAGCTGTACTGCAATCCCAGAGGTGTGCGGTTCAAATCCACCAGATGCTCTGCCGGAGAAGGAGGGAAAATTTCCCTCCTGTACCACTCAGATCTGATTTGACGGTACATGCACAATAAATAAATAAATTTTTAAAAAAAAAGAGAGATGGAGACATCTCAAGTGCTGTAAACATCTCTTATCTCAGTGTTGCTGTGAATTGGGTATTTGGGAGTAGAATTAACTAGATGGTTCTAACTCGGGGTGAAGTTGGAGTTAAGATATCAGACATGGCTGTGGTCTTACCTGAAGGCTTAACCGGGAGATCCCCTTCTGAAAGGAAATATTTGTGTCCCTGTTGCCGGGAGGCCTCAGCTCCTCTCCATTTGAGTGTCTCCAAAGGCTGGATAGTCTCCTCACAGTATGGCGACACTCCCTTCTGAGCCAGTGAGCAAAGAAAGAGAATGGTTGGAGCCACAGTGCCTCGTAACACCTAGCCTGGAAATCACCCACCCCAGCTTCTTCCAAAGTCCTCTTGACTGTGGAGATCACCCTCCTTTAATGCGGGATAGGGCTGCACCCTGAGTTATCAGTGGTAAGCCTCGTTGGCCACCCTTATGGAAGCTGGCTGCTTCAGCGAAATATGTTGTTGTTGTTATTGTTGTTATGTGCCGTTGAATCGCCTGCAACTCATAGCGACCCTATGTACAACAGCCCTAAACTC